ATCACACTGTGTCAAAAAAGTTTGGCACTGATCAGGATCGCCTCAAACCCGTTCTGGTGGCAACAACCAAGACACTTTGGTGCCAGTGAGCAGAACAGCCGGGGCAGCGATGTGAGCTGACAAATGCTGAAGTGGTGTGGTAGACTGGGCTATTTTACTTAAAGGTATAATGGAGGATTTTCGCAAATTTCTGAAAAGACCTGCCCTCTCCACTTAAAAAAATGCCTATGCACAAACCCGTACCCGCTCTTGAGAGGGAACGCCTATTAAATGCGTGCGAGAGCATGCACAACCCCATTTCTCACTCCATTTAAAGGAATAGTACACCCAAAACATGATTAGCCTTCATTTTCTACTCACCCCCATGCTGAACAACACTCTGGAGTACTTTTTTGATATCTCAAATGCATCTGGAGATCTGGGAGGCTTCTTGCTGTCTGCTGACATTCAAATAATGGAGGTCTATGGCGCCCGACGCAGAAAGGTCCATAAAAGTCCACAAAAAACGTGTCAATATTCCTCCATACTGCTCGTCCAATGTATTCCAAGTGTCCTGAGTGGGTAGCATCCAGAATTTACTCAAAACGAAGTCATTTAGAATGTTTTTAGAGCATAAACAGTAGTGTATAGGATTTCCTGAAAGTGCGCACATGCGCGCTCACGACGCTACGGAAGCCGGCAGACCAAACCAGCGCATTTAGCTCGGCAAAGAACTCATCCTCTTCCTCAACACTGAAGTCCTCAGACATTTTTCTTTCGTTGTTTCTTTCTTTGCACAGGTAAACAGCACATTTCTTCTTCTACGCTTGCATTATCGGCAGAGCAGACGCTGAATGCGCACTTTCATCTGGCTTGGTCTGCCGGCTTCCGTAGCGTCGTGAGCGCGCATGTGCGCGCTTTTAGGAAATCCTATACACTACTGTTTATGCTCTAAAAACATTCTAAATGACTTCGTTTCGAGTAAATTATGGATGCTACCCACTCAGGACACTTGGAATACATTGGACGAGCAGTATGGAGGAATATTGACACGTTTTTTGTGGACTTTTATGGACCTTTCTGCCTCGGGCGCCATAGACCTCCATTATTTGAATGTCAGCAGACAGCAAGAAGCCTCCCAGATCTCCAGATGCATTTGAGATATCAAAAAAGTACTCCAGGGTGTTGTTCAGCATGGGGGTGAGTAGAAAATGAAGGCTAATCATGTTTTGGGTGTACTATTCCTTTAAAAGTTAGTTTCTGCATCGCTCATACAGGTTTACTTTCCAAAAGAGGATTTGTAGTTTTTCCACCACAGTAGCAGCCAATCACAATGTCAAAAGCCAGACAAATGGCAGCCATATTTTGATACTCTGATACCACTCTTTCACTGAATATAGGGCTGGTTGTCGCAGGTATGACGCAGATATTTTTTATTTATATCAAATTTTTAAGTGTGGTCTGCGCTATGTTATTCCATGCCACAAAGAGAGAGGGACAATCACAATCTAGCTATTTGTCTAAATACGTCCGTGGTGGTGAGTAAGTGGAATAACACAAGGGGCAAGTTTGTGCGAGAACGGAGGGGCGAAAAAGAGTGGGGAAAATAGGTGGAAAAAGATTCTCAGCGTTCTCGCGCACCTCGCTTTTCTAGCTGGTCCATCTTCATGAGTCATTTTTCACAATGGCGGTCATACAACCAAAACAAGTCGGTAAGGTACCAAACAGGAAATACGCATAGTGTAGAGCGGATGTAGATTTGACCAATCAGAGGCCTCCTGTCTGTGGTCACCTAGAATTTTGGAGAGGTGCACCGGAGTGTCTGCAGAAGGGGGGGTATATCTGCGACACACGCAGACAACCTGGTTTCTGAGTATAAATCAGCTTTAACAGGGTCTGACCAGGAGAAGATGCTTGTCTTCAGTTCTTAATGTCAACAAATCATGACAGAAAGAATAAGCATCTCCCTGAAAAGAGTTTTTGGGACTTGGGATGTCTGATTTTGGGCCAGATTATTCTGTAATGATCAGAAAACAGAAGATCAAGAACTTGACCAGATGCAACAGGACACGTTTAAACTGTTTATTAAAATATGAAACTACCCAGTGTATTCTCATTATCAGTTCGTATGAAACCGTACGAAAAGTTGTGCACAGTAATTTCGTACGTTTTTGAAGTTTTTTTCGTCGTATTTCGTCGTATTTTTACGTCTTGCCTCGAGACAAGATATCCTTGCGCATGAGCATCTTACGCACCATTCAATAACATAGAATTTAACATACAATTAACCCTAACCCTGACCCTGTACCTAACCCTAAGATACAAAACAGCAAGCAACCTAGTGAGAGACTTCAAGAAGTAATTATTGCACTGTTTTTTCCCAGTTTTACGTCCGTCCTTGGATCTGCTTTTTTCGCATGTGTACTGATCTGTTTTTTCGAGGAAAAACGTACGAAATACTGTGCATAACTTTTCGTACAATTTCATACGAACTGATAATGAGAATATGTTGAACTACCGCAGGTTGGGAAGGATTAACCAGAGTCAGCAACCGGAACTTCTGGAAGGAGATTGGAGGGTTGAGTGGCCAGGCAGAAACAGAGGGCAAGTTTGGAGACAAACTCTGAGAGTTACTGAAGAAGCCAGTTGGTGTGTGAGGTCACTGGTGAACCTCTGAGAATCCCTGAATCGGTTGAGGTTGGTTTGGATCAATCCTTTTTCGACAGTTACTCGTTGGTCCAGGTGAATATGCTTGGTCAGATCCGTAAGAGAAGAAACAGGCAGAATGATCAATGGAACAAACCAGAGTTTATGGTCTGAGAACACGTCCAGAGTCAGAGCCAGGAGATCCGGGATCCAGAGATAACCCAGGGGAGAATCAGTGAGCGAGGTCAATGAATAGAAAACAGGTCAAAGATCCAACAACACACAATGACAGGTCCGATAGGGTTCAGGTAGGCTCAGAGAATCAGGAGGCAGAGTCACGCAGGCAGACAGTAAACAGGAACGCTGGACTAAACTCACTATGGCTCGTAATAATCTGGCCCTAGTGAATGGTGTGAGAGCTGGTGCCAGAAATTATGACAGGAATCTCTTTAATTGATCCAGGGTCTTTTTTTTTTTTTTTTTTACTTAACATTATTTCCTAAGGTTATATAAGTAAGTGGTTGCCAAAGTGTGTGTTTTTTAGATATAATTAAAAACAATAACTGTTGTAAGGTTGAAATGTGTTGAACAATTAAATAAAGAGTTATAAATACTGTAATGACACTTTAAATGTGGTTGATCTTTATTTACAGAAGATAACATTTCATTATATTGCAGAGTGTAATTTAATACAGTTGACTGTTCTTTGTTTGGTTGGTCGGGATGGTGGTAGTGGGAGCTTCCTTGAAGGAGGGTCCAAAAACCAAAAACAACAAAGGTTTGGGAACCACTGAGTCAGCCAATGATAGAGCAAGGTTTGATCTCATAAGGCATTGTTACGTCACCAATGCAGCAAGAGCAATATTCCTGATGAACCCAAGTTGACAGAACACCCACACACTTGTTTGTGAGCCAAGTAAAAACAGAAAACCATCATAAGTTTTTAAGCTTTTAAACTGACTCAAAAAAAATCTAGAAAAGTTCTCTGCTGCTCCTTCTTATCCTTATCTTAGTGTTCATGGATGCATTTGGATGCTAATTTGATCACCAGCACTGTAGATGCTGTGTCTGAACTGTGCAACCAACTCAATTAATTAGCTTTATACAGTTTTACTCTGAACAAATGTGTAAAGTTACAATCTAAATAATTTAAAACAGACATATTTAAGGTTAAGATTAGAGTTGTTATCAGTCTTTTCAGTAAGGGTGTTACAGAAACAAACAGGCCACGTTTTTGTTTTTTACTTCTACTTAAATCTAATCACATGAGCTAATCCCGGATATTTTGCAGTGTATAGATACATAGGAAATAGGGAATACAGCTTTTTATGATCATGTTTTGGTGTAAAAAAAAAATCTGGTTAATTGTGAGAGAAAAAAACAGGAGAAATGTGTCACTTATTTAAAAAAAAAAGGTGAGACTGTGAGATCCATTTTCAGATTTAAGAGTGAGAGATTAGACTTTGAAGCATTTTTTTTTTTCTAACTTTTATCCGGCACTGGATGAGTGAGTGTTTAAGGTGCGTGCATGGTGGTGATGGCGTGTGCAGACTCCTGCAGGACACACGATCCAGTTAGTTTAGGAATGAAATGCGCGTGCATCGCACGCACACCATCAGAGCCTGCCGGTCATCACCATCAGGGGCGTGCATACATAGACACTAGGTGGTGCTAAAGCACTAGGAAGTTTGCCCTTTATCAACGAAAATGCCCTTTTGAAACTCGTTTTTTTTCTTTTTATTATTAATATTATTAAGATTTTACTGAGGTCGTTTTTGAAATGATCTTTGGAAAACCTGAGCCATTAAAAACGACTGAAACAATGTCCCGAAATGAGCCACCTCCTTGCGCACACCCGACCAGCCTATCTCTCTTCCTTTGTCATGTGAACTTGCGCGGTCGCCCACAGGGAGATGAGCCAGATGAAAGAAGAAGAAAGATGAGCAAGCGTACTACTTTAAAGTAGTACGCTTTAGTCTGTCTGTTGGTGGTGTGAATTTTTCCCATTGAAAACTCACGTTTATAGAATGTTACAAATAAAAGTCAAATTTCATTCAACATGCGTGTTTATTTTTTTTTTATAATTCAGTGTTCCACGTGCGCTAAAAAGTAACCACCACCCCCCACCCCCCTCCTGAGCACCTGCCCCCCAAAATGTCTGTGCACGCCTCTGATCACCATCAAACTGAAGTCTGGGCTGCATTTTTCTCCTTAAAGCTGTTAAGATATTTAAATACTCTTCTTTGCATTGCATACAAGTTTTATTATTAGAGCATGCAAAAAGAGTAAAACTGCTTTAAAACACGCTGATAAATGTAACGTTAAAACGCATTAATCTGCCCTTTAACCTAATTTTTAATAATAAAGGTATTTACCTGATCAAAGTAGATTATTCTAGTTTTGTTGCTCATTTCTGACGGTTCATGATTGTTGCTTCGGACTGCAGAGAAAGCAACCTTGGAGTTGGCGGCGCGCACGGAGATGCCGAGCGGGGAGGATGAGGATCTCCAGTCCGTAGCCGGGTTGGAGTCACACACCACCAGGCATTTCCCCTCCAGGACGATCGGCTCCGTATCATTCTGAGCTCTCGCCACACCTGAAACCACCGTCCAGCAGAGCAGCAGCATGAGGGAGCTCTCCATGGTGCTCCTTTTGTCCTGTTATAGCTCCGCTTTAAAGAGAGGGAGAGAGGCAAGTTTTCCAGTCCCTCCACTTGTCTTCACCGCCGCAGACGCGTCTGGCGCTGTGGGATTCTCTTACTGGACCCAGAGATGAGCCATATTCGAGCGAAACATCAATGATAATGAACCCTTATTAGGTCTAATTCGAGTTGCTGAGACGCAAAAGTAAGAAAAAAAATTCGTACACTTTTCTAAAATTCTCATTTTCAGTTGGAATTATTTAGAAGTCGTGAATGAGACCAAGTGGACCAGTGGAAGCTGAAAAAAAAAGGAAAATAAAAACAGGTTTCTGATTTAGAGGGGGGTTTCTTCCGTTCATAACCCGGACTCCTACTACGAACTACGCGTCTGGTTACAGCTGTCCCCACAGTGATGTTCCGCTTGTGTGCGCGCTCAGGTTTCCACTTTACGCACACACGTGTGGGAAAAGAATAATCAAATATATGCGCGTACATGGCTCAAAGCATGGAATACGTTTTTTCATTCTCTCAAGAAATATCTTGGTCTTCACAGATATAAATCAGACCCTTATCGGCTGAATATAATTACACTACAACAAAGCTAAATGTCTTCAATTTAGTGTATTTAACATTCATTTCAGTAGGTAAATGAGATGATTTGCCAATGGAATTAGTATTTTTACTCTTAAAATATGATAATTAGATAATATGCACTTGAAATAAGACAAGGCAATTTTTTTTTCTTATTTTAAATGTAAATTGTCTTGTTCCACTGGCAAAGTGTCTCACTAACCTCCTCAATTCAAGAAAAACTGCACTTATTGTAAGAAAAAATCACTGATTTAGAATTCAGTGTTTTGCAGTGTAGTAATTGGATTCAGATGGGGAAAAAAACAAATCCTCCAGGAAATTCTGTTTTGGGGAATCTGAATGTATTGAAATCCAATGAGTATGTTTGAGCAAAACGTCTTCTTTTATACACATAAGTCTCATTTCGCAGCTGGAGAGGGAATCATTTAAAGCAGGAGTAGTGTTTTATTAAAAGAGTCAACTGTTAAACATTTAGAGCTGCTGATACTTTGAGAAGAAAAACTTCTCACTAATTGTTTAAAGAAGAAGAAGGTTTTCAGTATTTATGCATGCAGCCCTCTTTTCTTTCTTTTTTCATTGCACTCTCACAAGTACAGAGAAACGAAATGAAATCTTTGCATTTAACCCATCCCTGTGGGGAGCAGTGGGCTGCCTCCACCTGCTCGGCGTCAGATTGTTGTCTAACCCCTAGTGGTAAGCACTCTCAGGCCTTCTGTCCGCTCACGTCTAGTTTTGACTAAGCCAAGTTTGTTCCCTCTACTAAACCTGCCTGTCCCCCCCAGTGTCTCGTCTGATTATCTGGACCCTCACCCTCGTCTGTTGTCTTGGACTCCCTAGTGACGACCTCCTGCCTGCCTGACCACTGATTCAAGGATTGCCCCAAACTCTGACTGGTTTCACAGATCTGACCTTTTCCTGCCTGACCAAGAATTAATAAAAACCATCTAACTGTGCCAACTGCCCTGTTTGTCCATTGGTGCCTGTAGAGCGTGACAAGCAGTGTTGGGCACGTTACTTTGAAAAAGTAATTAGTTATAGTTAGTAGTTACTTCTCCCAAAAAGTAACTGAGTTAGTAACTGAGTTACTCCACAATAAAAGTAACTAGTTACTAGTAAAAGTAACTATTGCGTTACTTTTGCGAGTGTATGAAATTATGTGTAATTCTGAAATCCTGTGTTTGATACTGCAACATCTAGCTATATCCATCCATCCATCCATCCATCCATCCATCCATCCATCCATCCATCCATCCATCCATCCATCCATCCATCCATCCATCCATCCATGTTTCTCCCTTTCTCCATATAGGCTAATGATCGTTCACGCTCTCCGTAGTTCCCCTGTGGCGCGAGCACAGGGCGACTGTTGCGCGCCGTTAGCAAGCATGCGCGTTTGCTGTCGCTTGCGCGGTGAATCGTGCCGCCGCGCTGTGCGGAGATGCAGTGGAAATCGTATCTGATGGGGAAACACAGCTCAATGTAACATATTATTTCATCTGGAAAGCGCTGTTTTGCCGCTGGAGTCCTCCTCACTCTCCATCCTCCCCTCTCTCATGACGCGCGCACGAGTCCTATCATGAAAAAAGGTTAATTGTGCGACCTGAGTAACGTGCAGTAACGGGGGGCGGCAATTGTAACTGCGTTATAGTTACAGTAAGAGTAATCATTTTGATTACTCGTTACTAAAAAAGGTAGCGGCGTTAGTAACGCCATTACTTTCAACGCCATTAGTCCCATCACTGGTGACAAGCTAATAACATTAAAGACTCTGACTCGTACGCTGCTTCATCAGGGTCAAGTTCCTGCATTTCCACATTCTATGATCATAAGCAGTGCTCAGTGCTATGTCTTCCTCTAGGGTCTGAGTGCGAAAAATATATATATGAATTCATTTTAACAAATACTACTATTATACCTCCTTATGAGTCCCTAAAGGTTAAAATTGCCAAAAAAACTAATCTTATCCAATTAGTTCCTAACATGTACTTTAATATATTCAATGTTTAGATACTCCAGTTGTAAATGATTGAGAAACAAGTTCATTCTCTTGTCTGTGAACCCCCCTGAGATAGCCTTTCCCCCCTGCCCCCCCACAAAAAAAGTCTAGCTCCGCCACTGCTTCTTTGCAGCACAGAGATAATGGGTTCAATCCAAGTCCAAGGCTTTTCTGAGTTGACATTTTTAAGCTTATAGATTAGTTACACCTTACTTATACAATTTAGGTATATCAACTAAACCAAACTGAGTGAAAACATTTTACCTTTGTTTTCTGGGTAAATTTTAAAGGTTGTTTTTTTGCATTGCAAATAGATGTGATATAATTCTGCATTTAGATTGTATGTTCTTTCTCTCTGGATGTTTAACTTTACTCTGGCATCGTCCAGCCATTCAGAAAAATATGCAGATTGTCTGAGGATGGTTGATAGTTCTCAGTGTCTGTCCAGGATATAGACAGTGGATAGATGGACAGATAGGTGTTCTGATAGGTGCTGAAACTGGTAATTTAGACAATGTTTTTAGCTTTAAATCTAAAAACAAGACTCAACTATCGTGAAGGTCAACAAGGAATCCATATTTGTACAACTAATTAAAGGCAAACTAATGAGCTTTGACCCAATTTGTGGTGTTTGCAGAGCTGTTTTAATCTAAGATTAGCGGATTGGAGACTTATACTACATGTTCTGAGTCATCCTTAATTTCATAAATTAAACATGTAAAAACAAAACAAAAATTGCTCTCCTATTCTTCGTTACATAATTTATCATATTTTAGGTAAACAGTTTTCTTTAAAAGAACAGAAGGAGGTGTACAGATGAAAGTAAGTGATGAAGATGCATTGTATTTACTGCTGCCTCACAGCAGGAAGAATCTTGGTTTTTAGCCTCACCTGGAGCTTTTTGGGAATATTTTTCAGAAGAAGAGATTTCATACCTGCTTATTTTTTTGTGTTTTTTTTCCCACTTGCATGATAAGTTAGATTTTTAACCCAGATGACCTTGCACCAACTTATTACTTTTATGAAAAGCAAATTAATAAATCAATAAAAAATGTCACTATCATTTTGATCAATATATCAGGAAAAGGAATGATTTAGGATTATGATATTTAATACAGCAGCTTTAGACTATTAGCTTTCTGACTTTCATTTCACTGAGGCTAAGAAATACCTGCTACATCACCTCATGGCTCTGTCTATTATAGAGATGTTTCTCTCACCACCCAAATAAGCTAACTGCTCCCTAATGAACAGGCCCATTAACATGTTTACTAATGAATCACTCTCAGATAATCATGTCTCTATGAAAAGCTGTCTCTCCTTATCTTTTTTTTTTTTGAAACGTTGATAAATTTAAGATATATTTGTGACTGATACAGATAGAAAATTACTCTATTTGACAGGGGTAAAAGACTCCTTCCTTTTTGTGCATAAAATATGAGGAAGCTCAATAAATCTACCTTTTTTTTATTATTCTGCATCAAATCAGTACAAAATAACTGAAAATTGTTATGATCTTTTTCAGCTCTCTGACCAACATGCAGGAAACCACTCAGAGAAACCAGGGGATGGTTTAACAGGTTTATTGAAAACAAGTAGAGATGGGTCCAGTGTTGCTCTGAACGCTGGTGAACCGGGACTGAAAAGTGAAAACGGGAAGTTCAGTGTTTAGTTCAGGCTCAGTGGGAAATTTGACTACGATTAGCAAAAACTGAATGGCAACTGGACTCCTTTCCAGAAAAGGTGTCCTTCCGAGAATCCAGTCAGTGTGGGTTGTTCCAGAAATTGGTTGACTCGTTGGAGCGCGGACAGGGTTTACCCAGGTAAAGTTTGTTCCTTAAGGAGCGGTGGAGCTGACTGTCACTTAGATTTCATGAGGTACTTGAACGGTTAGTGTGGAGATGTATCCCCTGCTCAGTGTGAAGCTCAAACAATCCTTTCGGGGGGGAGAAGGTCCAAAACCTCCAGTTTGCATCCCCTGCTCAGTATGAACCTCAAGACGATCCTTCCAGGGGGAGAAGGCCCAAAGATCCAGTTTGCAGGATGACTTCGTGCCAAAAGGCAAAGACAAAACAAAGTTAAACTCAGGTTGACAAAAACTCAGCTTGACTCAGCAAAAACTCAGCTTGACTCAGCAAAAACTCAGCTTGGCTAGAGTACCCTAAACTGGCAAACACTCTGGCGTCGAGGTAGTGGCAGTCAGCAGCTTAAGAACCCTCTGTTTAACGAGGAAACCATCAGCAGGTGTGTGAGGAGGCGGACCAGAACCAGGCGCCTCCTGGTGGATGAAGGGAGACAAACACAGAAACACAAAAACAGGAGTCCTGACAGACTGGCTTTCATCTTTTCATTTTCATAGAATTTTTTTATTTATTATTACTTTTGTGAGATTCAGATTATTTATGTGATCATTGTGGGTTTTTCCTTCATTACAAGACGGGGAAAAACTTTGTCTGTGTGTAATCCTGCTGCAAAAATCTAATGTAGAAAATCTGTTATTACAGTTACGACAGGGAATATGATGTTGAAAGGAAGAACCCTATTTTACTGCAAATGTATAAAATGAAAGGAAAGTGCTTCTAACAAATGTCAAAATTGCCTGCCATAAAGGACTGGATATAAACGTACACAGTAAGTCTAGCAGCAATCTTCTACTTCGTTATCTCCCTCTCTTTTTCTAGCTGTGGTGCTGTTTCTGTCTTTTAAACACATTCTACTTTTTATTTAATCAGCATTAACATCTCCATTTTAAGTGGTGTAAAATAGGAACTTCATGATTATGATTACTCGTATCGGGGTTCCACTAATTATTGCTTTTTCTGAGTGGACCTACTCAGAGTTGATTAAGCT